TCAGACAGCAACAATTACATTTGCTCGAGTAAATTCTTGAGGCTTGGATTACTTGATGGCCAACCGTGTCTAAATGTTGGAGGGATTCTTGAATTTCTAGCTTTCCAGTCTTTATAATTGTCTCGAGAAACACATGGGCTGGAATCTGTCCCACTATAGGAACCCGAGACCCTCATTTCTGTCAGCTGGCATTGGTTTTCTGAACCAGAATTCTGGGTTTCAGGCTACTTCTCCTGTGTCTGGGACGTTGAGAAGACACTAGAATGACTGAAAACTGAAAAAAGAAAAACAGGTTATGAACGTACTCTAGAAAGGATGGAAAACAGAGAACTGTAGGTTATATTTGCATGAAGTGGGTTGATTCCAGCTCAGGATGCTTGGATTGTGTTAGGTTTCAAGGAAAAAAGGAGTAGGACCTGAGGTGAACCGATATTGGCAAGGTCTTGGAACGCACTTTGATCTCCTTATCCTCACCTTCTCCTAAATTTTGGGGGTATTCACCCTAAAAAAGGGAAAACCTTCCCAACCAGGATAAATCTGAGAAAAAAAACCGATGCATTGACCGTTCTCCCCTTCTAATCATGGTTATTTATGGGAAACACTTGGAACCACTTAGGCCCAGCCAATTTCCGAAATTCCCCTACTTAGAAAAAGCAAAACTAAAGAACAAAAAAACTACTTAAAAACATAAGAAGTAGCTATCATACATAATCCATATCAGATTGATTAGTAATGATCTATAACCTATTCTTAGATGATGAGATAATGAAGAAAATTAATATTTACATACATACCGCACAAATTTTTTGTATTTACATATTGAATACCCAAACAATGTTTTTTACATTTATTGCACTCTATTTATGAAAAAGATGTGTTTCACCTTTTCAAAGTTAATAGTAATGGTATTTTTGATGTGATATGTCAGATTTGAGTGTAATAAATATAAAAATCAAAGCTTAGGTTTTTGATATGTAAATACATAGAAATTGTGTGGTATGCATGCACATGTCCTAAAGAAAATTGAAAATAGAAAAATCACATAAATATGATATGCCCATATTTATGGACAACCTCTTTAAAATAGTTAGCAGATTACTTAATATTAGTGGGTGATGATTTCTGCACTTCTAAATTTATTAAAAAAATATGATATTTTAGAATTCAAGTTTTTTGTTCAGGCACTCAGCCACTCATTACCAAATTGATTGAAATATTCTTAAAATTTTACTTTCCTAATTAACTTCCATTTTATGAACATGTATATCTTGAAAGCAAGAACTTAAAACAAAATCAAACTTGGGCTAAATATTTATCATAGAAATAATATCCACAAATAATATCTCATGAATTATTTTATCAATTTGCTCAACGGATTCATTGATTATAGTATATATGATATAATTTGTTTTACATTCAAGTGCGAATTTATTGCCTTTTTAGAAGCCCGAGTTCATGTTCAATAATAGATCCATTTTATATTCGAAGTTTTGGTTCATGTTCAAGAGTATTTAATTTCACATAGAAGTTTAGGTTCATAATCATTAGTAGACTCCAACCATTAAGGTTCAAATTGTAATTTAGGTTCATATTTAATCGTAGGTCATAGGTTCCATTTATATTTCAAGTTCATTTTCTAATTCATGTTTAAGTCCACAATTAACCTCATGCTCAAATTTAAATTTAAAATTGGATTGTAACCCTAGCTCAAGTTTATGTTGAAGTTCATGAGCATGTTCTAAGGAATGTACATACTCATATTCCATAATATTAAAATAATCTAATTGTAATTATACATCTTCTCTAATTCTTTTTTACAAAGATATTTGGAAACTTCCATTTCGTCAAGTAATCTGGATTCAACTTTGCATGGCGTCAATGATGATGACCTTTTAGGGAATTTAATCCTTGGTGTGGTATTTCTTACAAAATTATTATAAGATGCCTTAATGATCCAAGAATTAGATAAGGCCTCAGGCTCAGCTAGTGTTTTTGGAAAATTGTGGCTGTGCTCATTTTCAATCTTGCTTCTAAGATCTTTATTGAAACATATAGTGATAATTTAGGAGGCAGATAACATTTTGTAACAAGATTACTATAACTTATTTTGGTATTCATTTACACCAATTTTGCCTTATAGTGTTTAAAATTTTTAATTATTTGTTCTTGATCTTTATATTCACCAATGACAAATATTATTATTTAAAACTTTTAAATTTAAATTTAGATCTGGTTATTTAGGTTTGGTTTCACTTGCTATTCTATGCCAAATTACTTGAGTGTTCCCAATAATTTTAATGTAGTACATTCAAGCCATTTGAAGTCAAATAGATGGTAAGAAAAAAAAAAAAAAATTGAAGTGACATTTAAAGAAATATTTTAAAATTATTTTCTTTTAATGTAAAATCAAATTTATTTGTTTTAAATTTTATTATAAGAGTTAATGATACTTGAAAATTTTCTAATGAAATTTAAGAATTAATATAGAATTTTACATCGATTAATATATACAACATAAACATGAAATTCAATTTGCAACAAACTTAGATAATTTTAGCCACACTCATATGCTAATTACAAAATAATTTATATTGAAGGACAATGATAGAAATCACCAGTTTGAAGACTTAGGCTTCGCTCTAGTATAAGAAGAACGTCTTTGAATCACACTTGAAGGCTTCACATTCAAAGAGCACCTAAGTTTGAGGGAGAAATTGGACTTTTTTATTCAGTAAATTATTCATTCAATATTATAGGCCTCAAGGGTTTATTTGTAATCAACAGATCCAAAATAAATAAATCCATAGAGTCTTCCATGATTTGATCAATGATGCAAGTTAACATTAATGAAAATTGATTCCAAAAGAAATGATGATAAGCTTCCAATCTTAGTTTCTGTAAAAGTAATAAGTTTCCATTTTCCAAATCCCTCTTGCAATGTTTTGGTTACAAGGTGTAGATGAAAGCGGGGAGCACACCTTTTTGTAGAAGGTAACAACACTGCTCGCTTTATCTATTGTGCCACCATCCGATGATGGAGAAAGACTACATGGAAATAAAAGAGCAATAAAAGATATTTTTGAAAGCCATAGATGGGAGTAGTGTTTCAATAGAAAATATGTTGAACTTACCATTTGCTGAACTGGGGAAACAACTAAATTTTGAAATCCAAGTGATGAATCAAAATGACATGCAGTAATAAAATAAACATATCAAGGTGATCAAGTTACTAGAAAACACATGGAATTATGAATAAGACCATCCAAGGGCTGAATCAAAATGACTTAAAGTAGTAAACCAAATCCATAACATTAACACTTCCCATCATGAATTAGAACCTCATCATTGGTATGTTTCACATTAAACTACCCAAGAAAATTGAAACTAATACAACCGAAGTAACATATTTGCGCTCAATACCTGATGAGTATATATTTTCAGATTGCCATTACCTTCTGTCCTGGCTTTTCACAATAACAACACAATGGCTTATTGCTTTATTTTCATGAAGTTAAATCTTCCACCTTTTACATTTTTACAATTGTAAGGCGAGCTTTTTGTTGATGGAAATAATCTTTTATTTTTTCTAGTGTAATTGCTTCTGTGCTAGATTCAACAACGTCAAAAAATAGAAAACACTTCAACTCCATATGAAGCCTTTTGTGGAGCCTTACTACATATTTCATCAGTACAAAATAATCATTCAACAAAATTTCTGAAGCAGTTGTCTGCTTTCAAAATTCTTTCTGTGTATTCTCACACATTTCTCGTCCTCTTGCTTTGAATTCTTCCATTGGATTCATTTTCTTAAAATTATTATTGAGGTTTTAACTATCTTTTAAGCTTTGCAATGTCAATGTTAACAGATCATAGGTTTAAGAATGTGAATTCAGCCAAAGCAAAGCAGATGAGAACTACTTCATGTAAATGCAATTTTCTCCCTGTGAGGATATTTGCAAACCAAGAAATATGCTTTTAGAAGCTCGGCTTTGGTTTTACTTTGAAAGGAAGATCTTCTCATAACCTTGTTCATGTGATTGCCTCAGCTTGATTGATTTATCTCTGTATAGCTTGTTTTCTAGTAGATTTCTGTGCTTCTATCTCAAAAGGTGGCATTGGAGCAGAAGATGGTGGTATTGGTTGTGTCATCTTGTCAACAATAACTTGAAACACGACCATTTTTGTGGCCATTTGATTAGTTATTTTTTTGCCCATTTTTTTCCTTCTGGTTGAAGAGACTTTTAATAGCCTGCAATCTTTCAACATGGTTGTAAATCTCTTGCTCCATACAACTGCCAAGTGTCTTACTTGGCCCTCAATTTAAGCATGAGAAATTTATTAGGTTGGAACTATGCTTCAACACAAATTTGATCCAGACTTGGGGTTGAGAAATCCTATGGATTCATTAGGAAAATATTAGGCCAGATTTTATTAGATTAAATTTGCAATATCACTTTACTTGCCCTAGCAGCGACATATGTCTATTGAAGCACTGCTGCCTTAAATTTACAGATGCCTTCATGCTCGAGGATGGCTGACTATAAAGAACTCATTTAAACTCATTTTTACAGTCTTCATGTTTCTCTTAGCATCATCGTTCATTGGCATCTCTTAGCGCCATGTTTCCAGAAATTTCCGGATTCATCCGAGCGGGTTTTTTCTTGGTGCATTTATATACATACCACACAATTCTTATGTATTTATATTTGTAACACTTAAACATTCATATTTAGATGCATATCACTCAAATCCTTAACATCACTTTAAAAATACCACCGTCACTATCTTTTAAAAAAGTGAATTACACATTTTCATTGATAGATTTACGACAGCAATTTGTTATAAATATAAATAACAAACATTGAGTGTCAGATAAGTACATACATAAGAATTGTGTTATGTATGTAAATTTCCCCTTTTTTTTTCTTTAAATCATCTCTTTCATATTGCCAAGCTTTTCATGTTATGCTCTTGATATTGTTTTTTGCGATTCCTGCTAGAGGAAGAAATCGGCGAACCACCACCGGAGCGAGCCTGAAATCGTGGTGCCGAAGGAGCCTGTGTTCAGCTGCCCCATTTGTATGAGCTCGCTGATCGATGCATGCTCGACCATATGCGGTCATGTTTTCTGTCAAGCCTGTATCAAGCAAGCCCTTCAGTCCCAGAAAAAATGTCCCACTTGCAGGAGAAAACTCACAGCGAGCAACTTCCATAGGTTGTTCCTTCCAACTAGTACTTGAATTTGCGCATTTGTATTTTCTTATCAGCATTTGATGAATAACTTTAGGATTTGCATGGTGAACCTCGGTATAATTTGTTTGTTTGAAGGAGATCAATACATTTTTTTTTTTCATTCAGATTGCAGTTGTCTTCTTCCCTTACCACCGACAGTACAGGGGGTTGGGGGCTTTTAGAGTATTTCTGTACGGGATAGTGTAACTTAATTTCTTAGTTTAATATATATATTTTGTTGAAGGATTATTCCCCTGTTATATCAAACTGAACACTATGAAAGCTGCAACAATGCATTTATATGTGAATGGGATTCATATTTGACTCTGCACATCCTTGGCAATCAGTTAGTAAGAATTGTGGCGTGCAAATGTTCCTTAAAATTTATTTAGTCGAGCCAATGGCGTTCATTGAAAGGTCTTCAGTCTGCTCTTTGCTTAATATCTGACAAGTAATTATCTCAAGGGCCTGCCTTCTTGATATGCCTAAGAAAATTGTCTAATGCCAATTCAATTTCATTTGGTGATTAGCAATGGAGCTAAAAAAAATTGTTTTGAGTATTCAGAAAATATGTTTACTTATTTATTTTAAAAATAATAATAATAATAAAACTATGTTAAAAATACATTAAAAAGCATATTTTTAAAAATAAAGGAAAAAAAAAACCAAAAAGAAAAAAAAAATAATTAAGTAAAATTGATCCTAAGCAAGCCCTAACTTTTGATTCGTCTGATTAAAATTTTAAATTTCCCGAGTTGTTGTGACCTTAACAAATCTTTATTTTTCAGTCTGTTTCGTTTAATCTACAGTAGCAAATGTTTGGTTAAAATAATTTTGAGGCTTAATATCTTTCATTTAAGAGAAAAATTCTAGTTCTGTATATTCATGAATCACAAAGATTTTCATCATCCGAGTGATTAGATTCATTCTAAGGTAATATTTATATATTTTGAGATAGTATATTTTTCTTTGAATGTCATGTCTGATCATTTATATATAAATCTTTCAAGATCTAATGTGACTATATGCCATCTCCATCTATGTTAACTTTCTCGTACTGCCATAACCATGGATGCTCACAATAACCAATTTTTTTTTTCTTTTCTTTTTTATTAATGTATACCTTCTCCCAGTACTTGAAACTTTTTTCTTTTTTTCTTTTGTATTAATATACACCTTCTCCCAGTATATAGAGGGGTTATATATTTTTTTTTCAAATATCTCTACTAGTAGAAACTCTTTCAATTAGGCTAAGCCCTTTGGTATTTCAATTAAAAACAGTTGGGTAAGAAATCTTGCCCCCAAGCTTGCTTAGTTAAGTACATACACATTGTGAGATTATATGAGGAGGAATGTTCAATATATGAGAGAAATTTAACATAACACATGTGTTCAATGATTAGATATAAATATTTTGGAGAGAGACTAGGTAGAGATGAGATGGAAAAAATATAGAACAATTTCCTTTAGTTGAGCCCGTAACCTACTTTAGACCCATCTTTCATGATGAGTATATAACCCTTTTATGAGTAAGCCTTGTTTGTGTGTGCATGTAAACCCCTAAAAAGCTTATTATGTGATATTTATAATGGTGAATCCCTTTAAGTATAGGAAAACCACCATGATTGTTAGGAGAAACAAGATGATAAATACACTAAAGCCAAAGATTCCATATTAGAATTATTAAGCATATTAGTTGAAACAATGTGGAGCATAAAACAGATAACACTCCTATTATAAGAAATAAATAGAACATAATAATTAATCATATATAAGAAAACTTCATATTGCATTATAATTACTATCATCTTGTGATAAAAATTTCTAGATTAATGATAATAATACTTAATTAGATTAGAGCAAGTCCTAACAATGTAATCAAGAATAAATATATATCAATGATATAAATCAGTGAATTGTAGACTTTTAATTAGGAGGATTCTTCCAAAGAAAAACCCGAGAGAGATTGGTTAGTTGTACTGAGATGAGTCATTATTTAATATAATAATCCTCATGAATGATTGAGAAAACTTTTTGAGATTTGAATAAATTTTTAATGTTATATTTTGCATTTTTTGAAGTGCTACAAATGTGCTTAGAGGGTATGAAAATGTCTATATAAGCTTATGAAAATTTGGACACTCTTTTATTATTGAGCATGCTTCTATATTATGAAAAGAACATCTCTTGAAGTGCTTGTATTATTATATATTTGATTAGATAAATCATAATAGGAGAACAAAAAAAAAGGACAATCCATCAAGAGCATGGTAGACCCTTCTCTTATATCATTGTTATTTAAGAAGTTTACACAATCAAAAAGATATTTATAGGCTTAATATAATTGGGGAAGATAAAAATGAAGAAAACTATAAAAGAGATGTTTGATTTTGAAGTTAAGGAAGTACATTCTGTTGAGACTATTGAAATTGAGGCTATAAAGGATGTGAACATTCTGAAGATGCGAATATGGGTCTAAGAAAATATGGTAATCATATGCATTAAAAAAAGGGAAAGATAAAACAAAAGGACTTCCTCTTATCTTTATAAATTGGAACCCCCAAGTATTTAAGTGGTAAATATTGAAAAGAAAAATTCAATCTTCTTTTTATGCGGCTCGGACGATTAGAAGGTAAAGCTTTAGCATGAATAAAATAACTCTTATTATCATTAACAAAGAGACCACTAACACATTTAAATTCTAAGAGAAATTTGTTAATAATTTTGATTGATTTATCCAAACCATAATGAAAGATAATAAAATTACCAACAAAACTTAAATGAGTAACCACAAGACTACATTTGGTTTTATAGTTCAAAACTAATAGTCATAGAATATTTTATTTAATCCTCTGGAGAGATATTCAACTGCCGAAAAATGGTCACATCATCTCAAAGCTTTAACATAATTAAAAAGCCCACAAGGCTTGCCATTGACAATAATAGAAAATTAGCAATTATTGATTAGGTTAGCAAGGATATTAAGACTTTTGCCATTAAAACCAAAAAGAAAAAGCCTAAGGATTTGAAAAAAAAAAACATTCAATTTCAGCTATCATTGGCCTTAGGAATATCGAATTTGACATTAATGTTATAGCCTCTAACTTTATAATTCAAATCATAAATAATTTCTTGAGAAAACAAGATAATATCCACTGTGGCCCTGCCTTTAACAAAACTTGTTTGGTTGAGTGACATAATATTAGGGAGAATATTAGATACCCTATGAACTAAAATTTTAGAAATGAATTTATTGAAGAATGTACAAGGGATAATAAGTCTAAATTATTCCCATTTATTAGGATAAGGATGATAACCTTGGTCTGTCTTTATATGATTCAAGATTAGTAGCTATGTAAAAATGTAAATTAGTTTATGTGGTGTGTATTTCACGTATATTTATGATGTGATTGCAGGTATATAAATTATAATGAAACAAAGGAGGTTCTTTTTTTCCAACTGTCAACATATGGCCTTTTGTACGCCTATTGATATGCCTAAATTGATAGGCAACGAACCGTCAATTCTTAAACAGATGGAAAACTTACGAATTGCCATTGATTTATTGATAGTTATGAATCAAAGGCTATTCCACCATCAGAAAGTATACCAATGGGAATGTAAGAAAACTGTTGAAAAAAATTGCCCATCGGAAAGCCATTGTAAATTGACTTTATTTCCAAGAAAAAAGTGGAGGCTAAGTGCACATGGGAAAGCCATAAAAAGCTTTAATATTTCTGATGGATCTATGCCACCAAAAATTGCTTAAAATTTTTTAGTGATACGACACATTATGTGATGAGGGCATTAGACCAGTCATTAAGAAGAAAGCATATAAAATTTTAGAAGGATGAAATCTAATGTATTAGATTTTGATGAATTTATGTATAATTTCTTTATAATAAAAAATGTGAAAAAGGGTTCAACCAAAATAGATACTATATTTAATGAAGACATATTTTCTTGGCTACATAAATGAAAGTAGGGCTTATAAAATATTTAATAAAAAGAGTTTAATTATTAATTAACCATCACATTTTACCATTAATAAGCATCATTAGATGCTTCTGTGATAATGAGCGATGGATTGGAAAATTTTCACTTTAAATTCATCAATCCATGTGTACCAAATTTTTCTATAAAATGATGGTATGAGAGCTTTAACCAGTTTAAGGAACTCATAAAAAGTGATCAAATAAATTATAATTAAATGGGAGGTATATTAGTTTTCATTTCTTTCACAAATAGAACCTACATGTATAAATCAAATAGTAGCATATGAGTTTTAGATACAAAAAAATACTAGAAGAATTGAATAAGTTTATCTGAGATGGTATTAGAGAGTTAATGCCTAGATTTAATGATCAATATGTGATGGGAGTTGAGCGAGTCAATAAATACAAGTTAGATTACCAAAAAATTGTAATAAGAAAGAAGAAAAACTTGGTAGCACAAGGGTGTAGTAAGATTGAACGAATAAATTTTAAACAACTTTATGCCCTTGTAACTAGAATAAAAGATATTAAGTTATAATTGTCATTTTCTCACTATCAAAGATTCAAATTATATCAGATGGATGTGAAAAATGCATTTTAAAGTGGACTTGTAGTGAAAGATAGCTATTTAGAGTAAAATCTTGGAATTATTGAAATCATGAGTTTCAAACTTATAAAGAAAGCACTTTATAATTTAAAAAAAGCTCTTAAAGTATGGTATGGGAGGCTGATTACATTCTTGATTATTTTAGATTTTCACAAAAGCAATATTAATATCACACTATCATCAAATAAGATAAAGATGATTTGATAAGACACAAAAATATGTAAATGATATTCTACTTGAAGCCGCATAAGATTTACAACGTCATGAATTTGCAAAACAATATGGGTAAAAAGTTTGAGAGCATACATATTTTATAGATTTTTTGGTTAAGTAAAAAAAATTATGAAATATATATACCTAAAGTTTTCAAGATTTGGTCTGCAATGAAACAAGTTTTTAGGCAACTCCATGACTGAATGAATAAATTAGATAAAAAATGTGAATGGGAATCCAATGAATTCAAAGCATTATATAGAAATAATGTCATTTTTATTGTTTTAATAGCCAGTAGGTTAGATAGTGTATTTGCAGCATGAATATGTGAAAATTTTCAAGCAAATCAATTGTGAAGAGATTCTTTAGATGTCCGACAAATTTGTTAAATGTAGGATTATGTTATCCTAAAAAAGAGCTTTCATTCAAGCTTCTTGGTTACTCTTATGTAAATATGTAGCTAATTAGCTTAGCACATCACATATATGT